GATATGATGAAAGAACCACTGCACGTAAAGCAAAACGATTTACAACCTGTTCGCCACAGCCAGAGTTTCATTAAAATCTGCTGTTTCTAAAAGATTTTTCTCGTCAGGACCCTACGCAACTCTCTGGTGCGGTAATGTAATGATGCTCATTGTGAAGTTGAAGGATGACTGTGAATATTGTCGGGAAAGCATACTCATCCTAACTCACTGAGAAGCACGAAAGGATTGGTTACAGATTCAGATTGAGCAGGGAGCTATTAGGCATTGTTCATAGTTTGCGCCACGAGAGGAGGACGCTCGAACCGAACGAATCTGCGCAAATGCGAAATGAATGAAATGCGTATCGATCCACAAAATGGGAGGAGCTTCGAATCGCGCATTGGAATCTGCGAATCCTCTTGAAAGGAATGAGTGTCTATCGATCAGTCAATCGGAGATCGCAGCATCGAAACGGCGGTGCGAAAATCCTCTAGCAACGCTAATAGGGCGTGGTTTACTACGTCGATACGTATCTAAACCTTTTCGCATCCGCGTTCGCGCGTGCGCGGATTCACCTGGTCGATACGTATCTTTTTCTTTTCGCAGATTCGAATATTCCGATGGTTCCAAAACTATGAATGCCTTAGATTAGATAATGGTGGAAAGCTCACCACTGTACATGCCTCTAAAAAGCCTGCTGAATCTGCATCGGAGAAAGACTCGAAAGAGTTCAAGCCGTTTATGCGATGAACATACATAGAAGGAAAAATCCTTCGGAATTCTTATAGATGGTAGGTTTTCGCTAAAGGAAAGCCAGACATAATCAGTGGGACCTCCAAGGAAAATAGCAGAACAGAAACAATGCATTCGTACACAAGGCCATAGCAGTGCAATGAATGACTGCGACTTCCTCTTTCATTTCTTTCTTTCTTAGATGTGATACAAAAAGGGTTAATGCTATACAAGATGAGATTTTGTAGAAAGCTTCTACTATTTTAAACAGCTGAATAGAGCAGCAAAGCCGTATGCCGGATCACAGACTGAATTTCGTGAACGCTTAATTCCGAGCCAATTCCCACGACGCCATGTTGCGTAGTTCGTAATGCTAAAAGTTGCCCCTCAAAACAGATGAGATGAGAATCTGAAGCAAGTTATGCGGGCGAGGGTTCACTCCTGTGGGATCGGTTTGAGCAAAATCGCTGGTAAGTTCGTATACAGCCATGTTCGATATGAGGTGTAAACCAATGTTAGCTGAAATACAGGGAAACTATGCTGCTGTTTGCAATTCCGTCTCAACTAGATCGTTCAATCTAGTTCAATCTAGATCACATTTATTTTGACCATACTGCCCCATCCTGTTACGATTTTGATACTTGTGAAATGTGAATTCAGTCGACAAAAAAAAGCCAAGCCGTCTATTTACTCGAACTCCATTCTTCATTACACGACATGAATCAGCGATGCACCCAGTACCCAGCTCACACTATCTACTACAAACCCTTCCTACAAAGGAGGCCTTGACATGTTTCTTTGAGAACTTGTTTTTTTTCTGATTGAGCGCTAAGGAATGCTCAGACCTGACAATTCGAGCGCCTCCCTTTTATAGGAAGGACAGATACGTGTCATGGTTGCGCACGTATCGATTTGAAAGCCTTAACCAGGGTTACCGTAACGTTGGTCCGTTTTAGACTTTTTTTCGTGTGTAGATGTCCCAATGCAACTTGCGTACGGCTGCGTCACTTGCTTTTCGTTGGTGGGCACAGTTCTCCTCTCATGCTGCCATATGTAAACCGACAAGAGCTATAACTTGCAAGTGAGATGCTGAGTAGAATTCTCTTCAGACTTGATAATTTTCAAAACCAGATAGGTCTGTAGTATTCAGGGACTGCTAATTTCTTGGAAGTGACCAGGAATGCTCTCAAAAAAGGCTTTCTGTTGTGGAAGGGAGAATCCAGACCTTATAGGAGTGCGCACTTTTCCCTTCAAAAGAACAAACTTATATTCAGATATGAAATTGTAAAAAGCAGTAAAAACATAAGCTCTGAAATGTGCTCTCTGAAAAATACTCAAGCTTAACAATCAATTCTTCCGAAAAAGTCATTCCATTAGTTGTTTGCGGGTTTTTCTGACTCCAATCGCAACGACCTTCTTATAATCCAGCTCTTTGGAACCCTTAACCCCTATGAAAATGGGACGGTGGAAGTTCCCAAAAAACGCATAAACTAAGTTTAGGAGGGAGAGGATCAAGGAGTGACCCCGTTGGTCCTTTTTCAATTGTTTTTTCGGGCCCCGTTCGGGTCTGTAGTCTTCAAGACTACAGATAGGTCTGTCTGAAGACTACAGACCTATCTGGTTTTGAAAATTATCAAGTCTGAAGAGAATTCCACTCAGCATCTCACTTGCAAATTATAGCTCTTGTCGGTTTACGTATGGCAGCAGAGGACTGTGCCCACCAACGAAAAGCAACAACTGAAAAAGCCCAACGGGGCCATTCATTCATTCTTACTTATTTACGAGTTCTCTGTGTTTTGCGCTTCTGGGTGTTCTACGGTTACCCCTACATTGGGTTGCGTGCAATTCCTACTTCCAGGTGTCTCTTTTTCTTTGATTTTCTCTGTTTTTTTTGCCATCGCGCATTAAGCCATGTTTTGTAGGATGCAGGTGTTTAATCTCTAGCTGTTTTGGAAATCTTATTGTTCCTGTCGTTGCTGTTACAGTGTAGTGAATGATAGGGACAAATTGTACATGAAGATGTTTTATTGGGAACGTTGTAGATTTGCAAATAATGAAGCTATTCCGGTCCTGGAAACATATATTATTCTAGTAGGTTGTAAGTATACAATGGTATATTTGTTTCACTCGAAGGCCGAAAAATCGAAAAAATTTCATCATGAAAGTCGTGCGTCATATGGTGGCGCACGCCGTCCGTTATGGATTGAAAGCCAGTACAACTTAGACCATCGAAGATCCAACGTTTCGGCTTCACAGGTCTGATTCCCCAGCCTGTAGCCGATAGGTTATTTTGTATCCATGCGCCGTATTCTATTCGTGCTAAACTGGAGTCTGTCACATCGGATCCCCCCCCCACCCGGTGGCTCTATTCAGAGAATTGCTGAGCAGATTTGGAGCACAGATTCGAGCTCAACTTCAAAGGACGAATTCACGCTGGAAAGATACCCCCATTTCAACTTAACTTAGCGATAATGAGTGGTACACCAAGGAAGGAAAAAGCATGAAGATTGAGCATTGATGCGACTCTCATCGCTGGGCCCTCTTCAATACTACGTCTTTCTGCTATCTAATCACTCGCCATGTATAGAACTGTGGCGAGTGATCTGATAAGTAAAGTGCCCTAGACTAGCTAATGTGGTGATTTTCACCCATTGAGGAGGAACAAGAAACGTGGAAACATGGACTTGACCCTCTTGAAACCGCCAGCCTCGCCACACTACCTGCAAAACTTGCGCCACTCTCGGACTTGAACCCTGGATGACAGGACTCAAAGCCGGGTTTTTGCCAGTGCACCAGGGATCACTCGATCACAGCATCGGAAGAGGTCTTGACAACAGGTAAGCAACGGATGTTGTTTGCAAATCTTAGACTCAAGCGGTGTAGATCCAGCAACCTTGCCAGCGGCAGCGTGGAACGTTCCTATTGAGCCATTGGCGAATTTGCCATAGTGGAAGTGGTGAGCCCCACGTTGCCTGCAAACCTTGCGTCACACACGGGTTCGAACTTTCGGTGCACCGTCCCATGAGCGGCATCGTTACCACTGTACTAAGGAACCCTTCTTTTCCTTTTTTCAGCGGTGAAGGGGTTGTAGAGAAAAGGAAATAGCAAAAATTGCAAACCTTTACACTTATCGTAGTATTGATCCCGCGACTGATCCAACACAAACGTGGACCGCAGGCGCTACACCACTGACGAATCAATGCAAGGTGCCTTCCCTTTCCCTTTCCAACACCGTGCTTTGACCCACGCACCTGGCAGTTTGAAGTTGGCCAAAAAGTCTTCCGAAGGACTGTTTGCTGCGCATAACGGACGTCACCTGCGCCTCTCCAAACACATTTTATTTCGGCCCTCCGCGTCCGGTTCCCAGATGATAGGTGGGCGTACACCGGCCAACAGCGCCAAGATTGAGCCTTAATAGGTCGCCGAGGTCAAATTTTCGGTGCCAATTGCGCTTCAGTTCGCACCCTCAGGAGGTCCGCGGGTCCCTCAACTAGGTGAATTACTCCTTCTTCGACCCCATTCTAATCGTGAATTCGTCCTTCAAGAGAGGCTTTGGGTGACCCACATCTCTTCTCCAATTGGCAGTACGACCCTTGCGTCTTTCCGTACTAGTACAGTGCCATGGTATCGTTTTATGAGATCGTGGAGAAAAAAATGAAAAAATGGATGAAATGAGGGTGAAGAATGTTTGAGCTGTGCCAAGCAAGATGAGTAGAGCTTCACTCATGGTGGGTTCTTCTTTACTCGGTTTTTACTACGAAGTCCTTAGCTTTATTTGGAACTGTCCTAGAAGCCGGAAAAAAGTTCCTATCAACGTGCTGGAAAAGAAAATCAGAAAGTCCAAAAAGAAATTAACGAAGAGGACCATTAATTGCTCGTGAGTCGGTATCCACCAAAATGAACCAAAATTTCAAGAAAAGGTCAAAGTTTGCAGCACTGTAGGTTAAACAGCACGGCACACGTTGAAAAAAAGTGTTCCGGAAACTAGAAGAAAACAGATGCTAATGTCATTAGAATTATTGAGGAATTCAGATAGCAAATCTTTCATGAAGGTGGTGAATGATCGAGAGAGTAGCGCCACCTACAAAGAATTGTTTACCGAGACGGTGTTACAAGTTTTGCCGTACTTTTGCAAAAAATGCATCGCAGATTGTTTCAGACAAATATGGTCTCTGCAGCAACCCGAAAAGATCGCTAAGGTGCTGACATCATACAGCGCTCTGATTTGACGGACTTTTAGTCAGTCAATACAGTTGTCAGATAACTGCTTCGAACTCTTGAAATAACGCTTAGCTTCCCTTGACTTTGAAATATGCGTAGCGATCGGGGAAAAGTAGATCTCCTGATAGATCAAATTTGTTTAGCGCTTGGCGATGCTGACCATTGGCGCAATAGTCGAGCTAGCATAGGAATCTTGGAAAAACAGAAAGACATCGAATATAATAGATACCTTTCTCCATCCCGATGCGGTAACCGATATAGAACCGTCGAGAATGAACAAAACCGTTTTCTGGTCATCGCCACGTCTGACAAGCGAAACCTGAAGAGACGTCTCGTTAAACAAGTGGAGAGGGGGAGGTATGAGTTATATCCTGCGCCTCTAGTGTCTCAGCCCACCGGTCACCAGTCAGTACCGTTGCTATCGCGTTAAGCCCCTGTACCAATATCAAGATAAAATCATTTCGGACCAATATTCCCTACTACGTAAATAGACCAAAATATTCTTTACTAGACAGCGTCACGCATCACCACCCCATTTCGATATGTTGACATTGAAATGTGGATACAACAAGCCTTTTCGCCTGGAGTAGGGCCGGCAACTACATCACTTTCGTTTTGCTGACGACATCGTTCTTATAACGCCGAACATCGAGCAAGCGGAGCGAATGCTGGCTGATTTCGACTGCGCCTGTGGTAAGGTCGGTCTACAGCTGAACCTAACGAAGACGATGTTTATGAGAAACGGATTGGTTCCTGATGCCCCATTCACGCTCAACGGAACGAACATCACCGAAATGCTCCAGCTACGTGTACCTAGGTCGGGAAATCAATATGATGAACGATCTAGCTCCAGAGCTGAGCAGGAGGAAACGAGCGGCATGGGGAGCGTACAAGAACATCGAGGGAGTAGTGAAGAAGACGAAAGAACATCCGGCTCCGTGCCCACCTCTTCGATTCCGCTGTCCTTCCTGCCCTAACCTACGCCTCAGAGACTTGGACTCTGCGCAGGCAGGACGAGCATGCGGTCAGCGTTATCCAACGCGCTGTCGAGAGGACGATGCTAGGAGTAACCCTATACACGCAAGTGCAGAGGGGAATCCGGAGTTCCGAACTACGCCAACGATCGAAGATCAGGGACGCTGCCAAGGAATCGAAGATAAGGTGGGCCGGACACGTCATGCGATTTTGCGATGACCGTTGGACCAGAGCGGTTACCGACTGGATCCCTCGGACGTCAAACGAACACCTGGACGACCGCCGGCCCGATGGTCAGACTTCTTCACGAAAGCTCTGAACGAAAGGAATGAAGGACTTCGTGTCCCTCGAGCGAGGAGGATCCACTGGACCACTCTAGCACGCGACAGGGACGAATGGAGACGTTGCTGGCGCCCGCTCGAGCAAAGCGACGATCAACGGGACGACAGGTGATACAGGTGATGCGAGCTTCTAATGGAACTGGTTGATGTTTTCAACGAAAACTTCCTGTAGTGCTGTTGGTGAGTTAGTCCTTTTCCCAGTCATTTTCCGCAGCTCGCCAATACCGATTGACATCCACTATTCGTAAACCAGCACTCTCTAGCGGCCGAATAAGCCGTGGAACCAATACGATTACTCGAAATGCTCACTTTCAGGAGCCAGCGTAAGAGGAATTGTTGTTTGTTATTGTTCAAGCCTCCGTTGATTTTATTTGAGTTTTTTAGAAGGAGAACTTCAACGAAACCATGACGAGGGAAGACGTTATCCTTTGAGCAACGCTTTCAAACTTCATGCGACAAAACGTATTTTTTAGCTAAACAATGCTTTTTGCATATAGGAACATACGGGTGCGCAGGCAGGAGCTGGTGCCGGAGCTGGTGCCGGAGCTGGTGCCGGAGCTGGTGCCGGAGCTGGTGCCGGATCTTTAGCCACCGCAGTCAGTGGTGACGCTTGTGCCCATCCTGAAAAAATCTCATCAAAGAAAATACCATCATGATATCGGGCTCTCTCTCAAAATCAGGGTGCAGGAATACTTCCCAAATTTTAAGGTAGTAAATGAAAAAGAATTCGAGCTTGAAGCTGGTCGAGAAGGACAGGAAGAGAATTTTACTGTTTTTTCTATGAAGTGATACGTACATTTTTGCGACAACTTAGATTATTCTCTAGGTTTTTTGGAGCCTCTAAGGACCTCATTGAGTGACACCAAGAGAGAAAGCTTCTAGGAACAACTTAATACCGGGACTTCCCTTTCCCGCAAATGCTGCCTGCTCGCCTTCCGTTGTGTTCTTTTTCACCTGTGAAGTCGGTCATTGGTTCATTGCACTTAGCTGCGCATGGACATGCAAACGCACCGGCAGCCGAACATTCGTACAAACCGACACATCAAGTTAGTTATCTCTGGGTTTTCTGGAGGCAGAAAGCACAATGGATGGCGCCATGTAAGCGAGCGTAGCCTGTACACTAGTCCAAAGTTGATGAGGCTTTTTGTATAATGAGGCGAAGAATGGTGAGGAAGGATGTGATGCAGGTGACGACTTCCGAAGACTGATTTTATGCGTTCCTTTCTTCACGAGTACTGCTTGAGGTCCAACACGAATGAGGAGGTCCGCAAATGAGCACCCAGTAAGCAGTGGGACTGTCCGCCGAGTCATCCGCCTCTCGTAGTCCAGCTTACTTTGAACAGAGCGAGTTTTCTATCGACGAATACGTCATGCTGGCGCAAGAGATTCCGATCTTTCCCTCGCACAGGTAGAAGGCGATCGTCGACAATGGATTCGCTGTCTGGCAGAGCCACGACTAATCTCCGTATCAAAGTGTAAGTATGGGTCGACGAAGCACATAAATTTTATCGACTTGTCCTCGAAGAAAAAGCACCTCGACAGTTTTATTGCTATAGAGGAGATTTACGTTTCATGTGTGCGGAGGCTCGTAAATCACAAGTCAAAGGTCAATGGTCTGGTATAGGAGAAGGGAGTTTCCACGCCAGAACTCGAATATCATCGAACTTCTGCATTGCTGGTGGAACGCAAAGAGCGACCTACCGGGAGCTGCTATCACATGGGAGTGCGGTTATTCCATCTTTTTCTCCTCCTTCTTTTTCTTCTTCTTCTTGACCTTAGTTTCGCGCAGTCGCAGGGTCCGCTGTCTTTGTCAGTCGTCGCCACTTCTGTCCAGGGCATCTTCTGCTGTGGCCATGACTTCACTTAGATCCTTCTTGATCACGTCTCTCCACCTCTTCTTTGGGGCTCCTCGCGGTCGCTTGCCTTGCACTTCGAAGTCCATCGCTTTTTTTTATCGGTGATCGCTCCTCCTTAGCACATGCCCATACCATCGCAAGCGCTGCTCTCCCATCTTTAGTTGGACAAAGGCAATCTGCATGATCGTGAAGTGCGTGTTACTGGCTTAGCCCATTGAACGTGCCTTTCATTAGAGAGATTAGGTGTTCTAGAAGGTTACTATTTCTTAGTGCTTTTCAGAGCATTGGTCGCGGTAGATGGTCGAATGCCTTTTCCAGGTCGAGGAAGGCTAGGTAGCAAGGTCGGCGCTTTTCTCGATACTTTTCCATCACTTGCCTGGCGATGAAGATGGCATCCGTTGTAGACCTTTCAGGCATGAACCCGAACTGTTCCTGAGAGATCGGGACCAGCTCCCGCAGCTTTCGATCGACCAGTCGCTCGTACAGTATTCATGGTATGCGCAGTCAACTTGATTCCGCAGTATTCAAAGTAGTCCACGCGCAACCGTTCTCTTCGGCGACGGGGACTCTACTACTTGCTCTTCAAACGCCCGGCATCCTTTCCGCGTTCAGAAAACTCTCGAGCCACCTTATGCTGTACTCTGCGAGCGCCTTCCATGCCTCGATTGGCACCCCATCTGGGCCAACCGCCTTTCCAACCTTCATCTTCCTTCTCGACGAACCTCATCCTCTGTCCATAGTGAGATGGGGCCAGCCGTTGCCTCTGCTTGTGAGGTGTCCTTCTGGGGAAACTCCTCACTCAGAACTGCAGTGTAGTATCTTCCTACCTCCTTTGACTTTATCTGGCCTCTTCAGGGTCGTGCCTTGCTACTGTTTACACTCTTCATAACCCTCATATCCCGAGTACTTCAAGGCCGGGCCTTAGCCGAGCCGAATCCTGATTTACTATTACATATGTGTGTGCTTTCTCCAATGATGGTCAACCAAAAAATGTTTTGATTCCAAGCTGCTTGTCTTGTGGGCGACTCATCGTATGTTTCAATCACTTTACATTCCCATCGCTCATGCCAAAATTCAGCGTTCACTGGTATGTAATCAACCTAGTTTATAACGATAAAGCTGATTCCTCATCAGATTTTTACTAAAAAAATTTCCGCATGGATCCTCATAGAATGATGTGAAGTATTCCTCTGCATTCATCCCTATGATTATAAGCGATCAAATCGATAAACCTATTTAAGTAAAGTGCTAATTACTTGCCATTTTGGTAAGCGGCCAGATAAAATATTGCGATGTACACTATCACAGACAGACGTAAGTTCATTATTCCAATTGTGGTTCTATTTCGAAAGGATGCTGAAACATTGAGATAACATTTCCTCGGTGACCTTCACTTGACACGACCTTGAACAGGCCGCACGCCTGTCCTACTTTAAGGGGAGCAGTTGCGATAGGACATGTACAGCACGAGCTTAAAGGCAAACTCCGGGATTAAACAGGTGCTATCAGCGCTTTGTAGTGATAGCTTAGCTGCGGAACGACCTGAAAGTGGAAAGGAAAGCAAGAGAAATCTTTGGGAACGCTGAATTAAGGCCTTAACCTTCAATAGGGTCGGATGTGGTACGATGGCGAGAAAGGGTGGTTGTCACGGCCTGGTGCCCCGAGGTGGTGGTGGACGAAGCGCATCGGTGGCGGAGCACCGAGGACACGGCAGAACGGGTATTAGAAGGGCCCGAACACCCTGTCCTAGGGGGATGCGTCGCGTAAGGAATGCTCTGACGACTGTTGCCTGCCGCGAGCCTGGTGAGGCCCTCTCCCTATCTGACGATTTGTACTAATATTACAATAGATTGTGATACTACATTATAGATGACCAGATTAGTCCCCCTTCAACCGCCCTCCGCTATGGTCCCTTCCTCCTGTGACACCAACACCTCCTGGAAGTGACGCGTATGCAACACAATGGTGTTTCATACAGTAGAAGGGACACAATCATGATATGACGGTAGATTTTTCGCTTCCCTTCCTCATCCCCTTCCTCTCTCCACTGCCCTCCAGCTGCCACTGCAGCACCATGTGGAATGAACGGAAGTGTGCTAAGCAGGTGTTTATATAGCCCTAAGAGTGTTATCACAACTATCCTGCTACAAAACATTGATATCTCAAATCCTGTAAGCTACCCGATTTGTTAGCGGTTTGTTTATCCCATGAGCTTCCTTCTCACTCACTTCATTTTGCGGACGGACACACATACATACATACATACATACATACATACATACATACACACATACACACACACACACACACAAAGCGCTTATATAAATTACAAACCGACACACAAAGTTAGCGCTTTATAATAGAAGGATAAGAGAGATGGGAGAACCTACGGGCACGATCGGAAGGATAAGCGGCGGAGTGGTATGCGACCGATCCGTTGGCTGTCGAAGATGGTGTTGACGGCAGCTCCAACCATGGCTGAGGACTCCACGGACACAACCGCTCGGCGAGACGACTGGACGACGACTGACAGACAGACGAGCGCGGGCCAAGGCAGAGATGCAGAGCACTTCCCGCACTTCTGGATGTTGCATGCGTTCGAACCATGGGAAAGTGTCTGCGTCCGTGGGAAGGCGTAGTATTTCGTCCTCCAAGGCGTGAGAACATGGCTGGAGCACGGGAAAGTATCGGCGCATACCTTGCACGTTGAAAAGATCGTGACGAGAGTTGCGACAGTGGTCAAAGAGACAAAATGCGCGAGAGAGCACGTCGTTTGAGAGAGCACGCTGATCTCTCATCAATGCACGCTGATCTCACCACCTCTCGCGGTGGGTGGGAAGCGTTGGAACGGGGTCGATGGTTGCAGGCCCGTAAGGATTAGCGCCCTAACCGCGCAATTTTTGCGACGAAGCTGGAGTGATCCAGTTACGTACGGACCTTACAATTTCCCCCGTGGAATCCCTTCCTACTAGTCGGGCTAATCCCGGGGTTTGCCTTTAATCTAATCGAAGAAAAAAACGGTATTTCTCTTCATGAATGTCCACAGCGTTGCCAGCCTTCCTGAACTGCGACTTGTAAAGACAGCCTTGGACAGTAAAGCTCAAGACCTGCGACATTATTAGCACTGTGTCAGACTTCGCAATTTCAGCCAGCCAATAGCGAATTGTGTAGTACGAGCGATACGCCATCGGTTCAAACGACGCAGCAGCGACTCGACGGTGGAAAAGTGGTAAGAGCATTATTCATGCACACATTGACTATCGCCGTTTTCCTATGCTCTCATGCCTTCCTGTTCTCATGCGTTCGTAGACCGGGATAGAGGCTAAAGTCAATGTGTGAACGAGAAAACCTTCACCACTCATCGAGTCCCTGGCACATCGCTCCAACCCCCAGTTCATTGCACGTACAAAGGGAATTGCTGGGAAAAAGGAAAGGGGAAAATTTACAAAATTCGACATATCGAGTTGTCCAAAAAATTCTGCGACAATTTGAGCAAAGTTCTTCAGGGAGGACTCGAAGCTTTTCCAGTTGTTTCTGCATTTGATTACCGTAGTGTGTCTTCAAAGGTTCCAGGAGAAGCGCACATAATAGCTTTGTGTAACGTATTGCAGTATTGTTGCATTCTTGATGGAAAGACTGATAAGAATAGGATATAAATATAGAATAAGAAGAATATAATGTATAAGAATATAATATATATATATAT